TCAAGCGGATGGATGAGGACGCTCGACTCAAGGAGCTCGACTATACTGGAATGAAGACGCTACAATTTGTAGCCGGTCTTCAAGACCCGTCATTGCGAGATGTCCGCCTCAGGATGATTCGCAGACTGGATGCACATACGGACGAAACACCGCTAACAATCGAGGACTTGGTTAGCGAATGCGAGAATTACACCGCTTCGAAGATGGACAACACGGATATGGAGGGAACCCGCGATGTTCATGCGGTGTGGAAGAAAAAGGTTGATTGTTTCAGATGTGGAGGTCCGCATTTCAGCAGAGATTGTCCACAATCAGCTAGGACTGGCCGAAGGAAGCGACGGAAGACAGGGACTCAGCCCTATGGTCGAAGAAGACAATGCAAGAACGTGATCGCCTTCGACGCCGAGAACGCCCGCACCTATCTTGACGTTGTGGTCAAAGGATGTCCTCTCAAGCTCCAGTTGGACACGGGTGCGGATATAACGCTGATATCTCGTAAAGCCTGGAAGAGGATAGGATCTCCAGCTTTAGAACCGTGCGTGATGCCTGTAAAAACTGCAGATGGGACGCCAATGCAGATCGATGGTAAATTTTTAACGGATTTCAAAGTCAAAGATCGAGTTACAGGACGGATGGTCCATGGAAAAGGAACATGCTATGTCACCGATGGCTCGAATCTCCTGGGATTGGAGTGGTGCATCCAATTGCCAGCTTACAAGAATTTGAAGACCAAGTACAACTGCAGGAAGGTGACTAACGAAGAAGCAATTCGAGCCGAAGTTGTCGCCGACTTGAAGAACAAATATGCGGAAGTCTTCAATAGCGACTTGGGAAAGTGCACGAAGAGCAAGGCCAAGTTAGTCTTAAAGAGCGATGCTGTGCCAGTTTTCAAGAAGAAGAGGCCAGTTCCATACGCCACGGCACCGGAACTGGAGGCAGAAATTGATCGGCTGGTTGCCGAAGGAGTTATTTCTGCTGTAGAACACTCAGAGTGGGCCGCGCCAATAGTCGCCGTCAAGAAGAAGAATGGCAGGATTCGTTTATGCGCCGACTTCTCGACGGGACTCAACGATGCATTGCAGCTGCATCAGCACCCATTGCCCACAGCGGAGGATGTGTTCTCCAAACTCAATGGAGGCCAGCTCTTCACTCAGCTCGATTTGGCCGAAGCATATCTACAAGTGGAAGTTGAAGAAGCATCGAAGGAGATGCTAACTATCAATACGCACAAGGGATTGTATCGCTACAATCGTCTTCCCTTTGGAGTAAAATCGGCTCCAGGTATATTTCAACAGATCATGGATTCCATGATAAGCGGACTTGATGGAGTAGCCGCTTATCTTGATGACATCATCATCACTGGAAGGAGCTTTGAAGAGCACCGCCAAAACCTGGAAGCCTTGTTCAAACGAATCAAGGACTATGGATTCCACATCAGGTTGGAAAAATGCAACTTTCTGATGTCAGAGATTTGTTACTTAGGTTGCATCATCGACAAAAACGGCCGCCGGCCGGACCCAAAGAAGATCGAGGTCATTCAACAGATGCCAGCTCCGAAGAACATAGCGGATGTTCGATCCTTCCTCGGGATGATCAACTACTATGGATTGTTCGTAGCAGAGATGCGCCAACTTCGTGCACCCCTGGACGCATTGCTCAAAAAGGACGCGAAGTTTGAATGGACAAAAGAGTGTCAAAATGCATTTAAGCGTGCCAAGGAGGTTTTAGCCTCGGATCTACTTCTCACACATTTCGATCCGAAATTGCAGATAGTGGTAGCTGCCGACGCATCGGACTACGGAATAGGAGCTGTGATTCTGCACAAGATGCCGGATGGTACAGAGAAGGCTATTTGCCATGCAAGCCGAAACCTCACAGCTGCAGAACGGAACTACGGACAAATTGAAAAGGAAGGATTAGCCCTGGTGTTCGCGGTTCGTAAGTTCCATCGCTATCAGTGGCGTACCGAGGGGGGGGCGGGGGGGCCCCCCCCCCCGAGAATTGGTCGCGAAATTTTTGAAAGTTACTTATATGGGTTATAAAAATGTGCAAGTGACTTGTTTATTTTTGTAAATAATTAAAATAATATTTAAAAATTTTTAAAAATTCTAATTAGCTTTGTAAAAAATTTTTTTTCGGGGGATTTTAGGGGTCGGGGACCCGCAAAAGTTCTTAGGAGCACCCCAAAAATTTTTTCGGAGTGCGTGGCTGACGCCACGCACCTTCTTTAGAAGAAAATTTTTGTCGCGCCCCCCCCCCCCGAGCCGAAATCCTGGGTACGCCACTGATCGCTATATATACGGACGACGGTTCAGACTGCTTACCGATCACAAGCCGCTGCTACACATTTTTGGACCCAAGAAGATGGTGCCTGTGTACACAGCGAATAGATTGCAACGATGGAAGCTCATTCTACTTGCATACGACTTCGACTTGGAGTACCGCAAGACGACCGAATTCGGACAAGCCGATGCACTGTCTCGACTGATTCCTCCCCGGCCATTCCAGACCGAAGACGTCGTCATAGCGAAAATAGAAGAAGATGTGCGAGCCGTTCAAGCTGCTGCTGTACGAGCGTTACCAGTAACCCGAAGAAGGATAGAAGAAGAATCCCGCAAGGACGAAACCATTGCGCAAGTTATACAAATGCTGCAATCGGGAGCATGGCCGTCCAAGCCGAAAGAAGAAGTCCGAAACTGGAGAGCACTGAGGGAGAATTTATCAGTGCAGAGCGGATGTTTGTATTTCGCCCACAGAATAGTCATTCCAGCCTCGCTGAGACAAGCCGTTCTGAAGCAGTTACATGAGGGACACCCTGGAATGACAAAGATGAAGATGCTCGCGAGAGGATTCGCGTATTGGATGGGCATCAAGAGAAATTGAAGATTCAGTGCGCCGCTGTAGGGATTGTCAAGAAACCTCCAAAATGCCAGTGAAGACGTTGCTGCATTCATGGAAAGTAGAAAACAAACCATGGAATCGACTTCACATTGACTACGCAGGGCCGCTGAATGGTAAGATGTATCTCGTCGTAGTTGACGCTTACTCGAAATGGCCAGAAGTGTTTGAGATGCCTTCATCGTCAACTACAGCTACTCTGAAGGAACTCAGATCTCTATTCGCACGATTTGGGAATCCGCAAGTGATCGTGTCGGATAATGGGACGCAGTTCACAGCCAAGCAGTTCCAGGATTTCTGTGAAGAGCGAGGAATCAAGCATATGCGTTCGCCTCCATTCCATCCACAATCAAATGGACAAGCGGAGAGGTTTGTGGATATCTTCAAGAGAACCTTCCAGAAAATTAAGGAGGGAGGAACGGCAGAGAAGCTCGCGGAGTTTCTGCAGTCTTATCGACGAACGCCTTGTACAACTGCTCCAGAACAACGTTCGCCTGCCGAGCTGCTCCTGGGACGTCAGATAAGGACACCACTGTCGCTGCTGAATGAAGACTTCAAAGAAGAAGGAATGAGCAATGAAAACATGGAGAAGCAGTTCAACCGCCACCATGGAGCACGAAAGAGAACGTACCAGCCACAAGAAGCCGTGTGGGTACGTGATTTTCGCTCTGGATGTGAAAAATGGATTCCAGCTCGAGTGAAGAAACGCTATGGAGAAGCATTATATGGCGTGCTTACTGAAGACGATCAGTTATGGAGACGACATGCGAACCAGATGCGCCGCGCAGCAAGTATGAATCGACGTCATGACTCAACACAGTCCATCCCCGACGAAGGCCGACGTAACAATGGTATGGATGCTGCTGAACACCAAGCCACCTCGTCTACGCCACCGACATCAACCAGACCAAGTCGCCATCGTCGCCCACCAGAACGTCTACAAGTAGATCCTTGTTATAAGATGTACCGTTGTTCATCTTAGGAGGGAGGTGTTGTAGAGCCGTCCCTTATATTAGAACTTGCTCGCTCACTATAGGCTAGGTCGATATGGTCTCTGTGGTTGCGGCGTACCCGCCGCGCTTTGATATATTGTGTGCGTTGTTCTCTAGTTATTCCTAGTGAACCCTCGGCATGTACGTCGATAGGCAGAGGGGGAACTCCTGTGTTTTTCTAATAAATTGTCAACGGCTCAACGCGTTCCACAACAGTTACGTTGTCTTTAATCGCACCATTTCACTTTGTGTTCACTAGGACATCGTGAACCCTAAGCATTTTTTCTGATTCTGCGATTCACTTCACCGTATATTCACAAACCCACAGGAATTCAGCTTTATATATAAGGAACTTTACAAATCAACTTATTTAGTGTCTCATCGTCAAAAACATTGTAAGACGGTGCTGTCTATTTGGGCATGTACTCCCAAATACTCGTAGCGCAACCAGTTCTTCACATTCGGGGCGTCGCATACTGTTTATAGTCCTGCTCTTCAGGCTGCATGTGAAGACATTGACATTGCCATGATGACCCTCATCTGCTTAGCAGTCGGGGTTATCGAGAACTTTCGTGCGTTTCGTCTGTGCGCATCTCCGCAAACGGGGTCGCTGGAAAGCACTGAGAAATTCAAATATATTTACGAGCAGATCGTGAAAACTGTTCCTACTTTGTGGGCTTTCCGAATGGGTGTTGACCCCTGCGAATGGGCCGTGCTTGACGCTTCAGCACGCCGGGCTTTGACGCTGTTTTCTTCTCCAAGTATCCGAACTTGAGCCGCCGCCACATATTCCGAGAACTCGCTCATTTGTTTCGCAACCTCTTTTATGACTTGCAATGCTTCATCGCTGCCGAGTCTGGACAGGGCGAGGACTGTAGAATGGATTTCCGCGTAATCCTATGTGACGTAAATCAGATTCCTCCATGTAGAAACGAATTGTTACCATTTCTATTTTTCGAAGTACGTCTTTGGACTCATCTCTGTTGTCTCTGGAACGATGTTTTGGTGAGACAATGTCTTCATCGTAGTCTCCCACATATAGAGGCTCTGCTTTGCAACTGTTGTTCTAGAAAAGTTTGCTTACTTACTGACTTACTTTTAATGACTCACCTGACTCTCGTGCGGACGAAACTGCTCTTGAATTGACTTTGCTGGACTGATATCGTGACAGCAATGTGTTGAACAGTATTCTACATTGATATTCCCTCCATCCTCGACTACCTGCAAATATCCAGAACCAGTCTTTATCGGCCATGAAGGAGTGTCTATGCCATTTGTACCTTAATATGCGCATTGTACACCATGCGCGCTACTCCACGTTATCAAAGGCCAGGCAAATCTGGACATGTGGGGCTCTCATGTGGGTCTGGGCCCTAACTAAGCCACTACCTAACCGGCAGCTCAGGTAGTGCTCTAACGGCTGAGATATTCGTCCCCAAACTGGACCCCGGGATCGTCGCATGAATTCATGGCGCAACCCATCAACCCACTTCGCGCGAGGACCCATGGTTTGCGCCATGAATTCATGCAACGATCCCAGGGTCCAGTTTCGAGACGAATATCTCAGCCGCTAGAGCACTACCTGAGCTGCCGGTTGGGCAGTTTCTTAGTTAGGGCCCCAAAATTACTATCCACATTAGGGCCCCTAGTCCAGATTTGCCTGGGCGTTGCTTTTAAGATCAGAACTGATCATTTCCACAAATTTCTCATTATTTTTTTTATCACCTTTGGTCTGAATGAAACAGCACAATTCGTTTCGTCAAAAGATGTTCACCGAGTTACTGTCGCTTGCCGCAGGAAGTGCACAGGTTCATGCATTTACAACTAATTCACGCATACCTTCATGTACGCTGTACAATAAGCGACAGTCTTCCTAGTTTTCTTCGGTACGTTGTTCAAAGAGCGAAGTGCACGACTGCATCGTAACCGAGTTGTTCTAACACTGTTGGAGATGGTAACAGAGGATACGAAATGCTTGATCATGTAAGCTTTTTCTGTCCTTTCTTTCCACTCCTTCAAAAAAAGAAATCTTGGGTAAGACATATCATGCTCACTCATCCAAACCTTGTATTTTTGAGGATTCTTGAACGTCACACTTTTGACTGTGTAGTCGTCTTCTTTTGTAGCATGGCTCATGTGTGCGTGTTTTATCAGCTCCTGATGATTCTGGAAAATAAGTACCTAGTTATCGTCGAGTCATGACCGCAAGACTGGCCGCAGATGGCGGAGCGAGCACGCGGGGCGCGGCTAAAATGTCAAGTGAACTGCAACAGCGATTTGTACTGGGACAAGCGTTCGGGCGCGCAGCGCTCCGCAATCTACGGCCAGTCCGTGCGGTCAGCGACTCGACAGTATCCCCCAAAAAGTGTCAATATCAACTCTATTATTTATCAAAAATTGAGAACACAAGTAATGAAAATTTACTTACTGACATTTCTGCATCGCAAAGCGGACATGATATGGTCCGCAATTTTGATTTTTCAGGATGTTTCCTACGTAGATGGACGTTGTATGCACTGTTACGGGTAAAACAGGATCCACAGACATCACAGCTGATTACTGGTTTCCCGGTTGCGTACGCTTTTCCTCCTCTTCTTACTCTCTTCAAGTCCTCGATTTGTGCTTTGGTATAATCATGCGCATCGAAAAGATGCCCATACAACTTGCTCCCTTCTCTTTTGTCTAAGCCGCATACGGGACATATATTCACGTTAGGCCTGAAGAATTGCAAATATGTATAGACGAAAAGAAACAATGATATATAAGCAAACCTGGTGCATGATGCCATGAGTTAACAACGCTATAAAATGCAAAACAGTTCAAAGATGCACCGTTCAAAGAATTACCGTCGCCATTAGGCGTGAAACAATAGCGGGGTCTGCAACCAACCACTTTAAAAAAATAACTTTTCAATTTACGCTCAAGTGCACGTTCTATAGAACGTATACGTATACGTATACGTATCGGCCAAACTATTCCTTGATTCCTGCAATTCCTGCGTTTGCTGTGGTTGCGGGTCCCGTAACAATGTATATTGCAAAAAAAAACAATATGTTTTGAAATCCGCAAAGGGCTCCGTAATGCAGCAAGTCGGAAGTCGAATCACAAGAATTGCGGGAATTAAGTAATGGCAGGAAACTTCCTGTAATAGTATGGCCGATCCCTTACGGTCTTCTTTTCAACCTGGGAATCAGTATATTTGGCTTTCTTGATCTCTTACACTTGAATGTGACATCATAAAGTGAAGAGGCCTTTTTTACGCATTTCTAAAATTCAATTGCTTAGCCAACTTTTGCATTTATTGACTAAGATGATATGAATAAATGCAAACCCCTTTTGTAATTGCAGGTAATTCTTGGGTAATCTTTAGCATAAGCTCAGCTAGATGAAACTGTTTCTAGACGGACCACATTTTCATAGGAACATCGTGTATGTTTGATTAGTTATTATCCATCGAACCAAAAGACATTAGCATGCTTTGCATACGTCTGATTAACAAGCATGCGCGTTCTAATGCATTATTGTGATTTACTTTTGGCGTGCTCCTATCTCTTAGTAAGTAAATGAACGATATTTTTCCCTTTTCCGTAACTTTCTTCAAGCTTTCTTGAAGATTTCTACCGTATAAAGTCTTTTATCGCCCTTTTCGCCCTCTTTACTTGAGCTTTTCCTGCATTTTCCCTTGCAGATGGTGAAAAAGTCACCGGAACTGAAGCCGAAAAAGAAGGAAAAACGGTTGAAGAAAAAATTGAGCGAGCCAGCCAAGAAGGAACCGGAAGTCCCTGCAGCTAAAGAATCGTCATCAGCAGACACTGATGAGTTAAAATGTAAGTTGCTTTTACAGCCTTCTGCGACATCGCTTTACGGTTTTTCTTTTCAGTTTTGCGGTATTCCATTAGCGAGCGTTACTCTGCTAAAAGGCAACTGTTTCTGAAAAGGGACAAATCAAATGAGTATTCTTTGATTGTTGGGAATGTTCCAGCGTATTTACCGAAGGTATGTTCTACGTCAATGCTTTCAAATTTGTAGTTCACCCCGCCGTTTATATTTTGACATCAGTTTCCTAAAAATTCTATAAACTGGCGGGTGACTTGTTGCCTTCTCCCTTTTGTTGCCTTGCATTGAAGTTCATCTTCTAATATTTTCACTAAATACTGCAGGGCACAGTCGAAGGCTTCATTGGACAGTTCGTTCCAGTACCAATCAGTGAGGTCGTTGTGCAAAGAAGCAATGCTGTGGATGGTTCTCTTAGCTATGTCAGTTCCTGTTCCATCTAAATCGTGTCACAATTTTTTTCTTGATATAGGGGCAGCTAACGGTCTCTGTGAGATTCGAGGATTCCAAAGGTGTTGATATAGCTCTTTCGAAATGTCAAGATGTTGGACCGTACAGGGTGTGCGATTTTGTCGACCCTGAGATACCCTCTGTTCTTCAAAGTAAAGAGCTTGGGATGTTTTTCCTTGAAAATGAATGGTGTTTGCTTCAGATTCTGTAGCACTGTATCGGAGTTTGTTCCCATCACCTGAAGAAATACAAAAATCCGCCACGGCTTTCATCGAGCAGCAGGATAAAGAAGCTCAAGAGGTACTTTACATCTATAACACAAAGTCTGATTTATGAGAATGATAAACGTTGAAGGCAAAACGAGTAGCTAAGCGGAAACTTACCGAACCTGATGAGGAAGGCTGGATAACTGTCACCAAAGCCGCGAAGAGGGTGAGCTACCTCAATTCAATTTTTATCTTCCAATGTGTGAGTAATCGAAAAAATTTTAAATCTTGGTATTTTCCAGGTGGGGAAGATTATGAAGGTTAAGAGAGATGAGGTGCCATTGATGGGCGGATTTCACAAAAAGAAAAATCATGTGAGTTGCACTTTGAAGTTCTTATATGTTCACTCTACTCACTGTTTGATTAAGGTCGATCTGGCATTTTATTCGTTTGACAAGAAAAATACGAGAGCGAAGAGTGAGTTTGCTTTTTTGACTGGTTTTTCGCTCCTAACTCCCACACTTTTCTCAATCACGTTTCAGAACTTAACGAGTTGCGAGAAAAGTTCATGCAAGACAAGAAGAGGATTGCACTCTTGAAAAATGCTAGGAAATTCAAACCCGATTAGCATCGATTGCATAATTTATTATGGCTGCATGTTTCACTATATTGTTGTTTGCCGTTATTATTGTTCTTATTGTTGTTGTTATTCGGAGAAATACAGATTAAAATTTATTTTCTGTTGCATAGGCGTTTTTCAGAGAGAATGCCTTTGGGCTTTTTCGTATCCTGTTGAAGTCTAAACATCTATTGCGATAGCGCGTAACCGTTCTCCAGAATAAGAATCATGAGGGATCTGCCGTTATTCCCCTGAAGCATAGAAGAAACAAATGAACAATTTAGTTTCCTTTTCGGAGAAAGTGTAGTCTTTGGCCATATACAGGGTGTCCCAAAAAATGTTTCGAACGTTTGATCGTTAATATCTCTCTTCCCAAGAAGTCTTTTGCCTTGCCTCAGGTACCATTTTATAGAGCTGGCTTCAACTTAGATTTTCATTATAAAACGAATCACCCATCTTTCTTCATTACTGTAGGATTACGGTAGAAACTTGAAACATATGGTGTCAATGTGGAAAAAGCTGCCGTTTCAAAATTTTTCAAAAAATTGTGAAAACTTGTGTAATAGGGTTTTTATAGACGCTGAGTTCAATACTCAACTATCACAAGGTTACGAAGTTTTCTGAACGGTGTAATCGCACTTTTTAAGAACATTGAAAAAATGGCCGCTACCTCTTACCTGGCATAACTCTTCAATGAAGCATCATAACAAGTTGGGAACTTTACAGTTGTAATCAGCAACTCTAATTAGCCTAGTGTAAAAGTTTTCAGGCCGTTTTGTTTCCTTTTTGAGGAGAATATGGCCTTTCATGGCTCAAAACCCTCTTTGAAGTTTCTACCGTAATCCTACAGTAATGAAGAGAGATGGGTGATTCGTTTTATAATGCAAATTTAAGTTGAAGCCAGCTCTACAAAACGGTACCTGAAGCAAGGCAAAAGACTTCTTGGGAAGAGAGATATTAACGATCGAAACATTTTTTTGGGACACCCTGTATTACCAGTGTTACCCGTGTTACCAGTGTTATCACCACTGTTGCTATTGTTCAATTCGGTCGTTCCCACTGTTATTACCGATCCGCTCTGAGTAAAGGCCTTGCAGTCTCATTTTCCTATTCGCAATCTCGTAGATTCACTTTTGATGACAGATTCGTTAATGTTGGATTACTGGGGTTTTGGTACATTGGATGGTACTTTTTCAAAGTTCTAGTTAATTGATGCAGCTACCGTTGCTCTTCACTTTCAAGACTTCTTTTTTGTCTATACATAGATGTAGAGAAAGAATGCGTGTTCATTTTTTGCTAGGTGATGCTTTTTGTCACGTCTAGTACAAATAGCATACGTTGACGTCTCGTTCCCAGCGTGACCTTTCCGCCCAACTCTGACATTGGTGGGGAGTTTTTCATCCGCTTTCGAACACACATTGCTCGTTTCCACCACCTGTAAGTGTCTTCTAGTGATCCTCTTCGTATATGTCTGAAACTCGCTTGTTACGGAATGAGTTGCATTCTAGTCATTGACCGAATTCACGAGAAGTTCCAGCAAACTCTTCTTGATTGAATGCATAAATTTTGCCCAATCAAACTATAACCTTACCTTCAGCCAACCTTGTCATGAGAAAAGAAGAAATTGTATTTCATCTCATTAGATCTCTTTTCTATAGCTGGGGCTGTCTGTGAATTTCTATTGCCAAATCAATGAATTAAGAGCGAATGAGGTGAATCAAATGAACCAAGTGAACCGAATAAGTCTGGCCTGCCTATATGAGCCTTTCTTGACTTCCGTAAAAACTGTAAGTCAAAGTGAATGACTAGTTATTGTAGATTGTGACTCAGTTTATTTACCAGCTTCAAATGATCTAATGTTGAACCGATGCTGGTGTCTCTTTACACTTGCACGCTTTCTCTGCTCCGCGGCAAATTTCTGCTCCTTTACACTTGAACAAATTCCACGAATTTGAACACCCACGTTTTTTGCTGTCGCAGTGCCAAGGTTGAAAGATTTAGCTCAAGGATTCACAGCGCTAAACCTTAATGTGTTCCAAGCGTCTGCGCATATAGGGTTTTTGAGGAAACTGCCGCCGGTGCGTCGCTGTAGGTAATGCAATTCCAATCAGTTTGTGATGTCCTTCATTCTGTTTTCCTCCATGAAGATCAGTATATCAGCTTGTTTTGCTATTTGTACCACTAATTGTGTTGTTTGGATGGAAATAGTGTTACAAAAATACTCCGCGCAACGAGTTCTGCAACTTTGTGTCTACGTTGAACTCAAAAAACCGTACATGATTCATGAAGTAATGTACTTGGAACGTAATGGAACCGGATGACCTTATTTTGCAACCATATGCTTTTTTGAGGGAGAAGAAGTGATTACTTTTTTGTCATTCTTTGACTCCTGTGCGGATAATTATGTACGTTTGTTTGGAAATTTCACTAAAGATACGATGGTTGAAAATTATCGGTTTTTTAGTATGTCGTATCCCTTACTATAGAGCATAGTAAGTAAAGAACGTAATACGATTTCTTCTCATTTTTCGCTGGTATCGAAAGGGCAAAAGACGCTGTAATAATTTTGTTCTTATTAGATTTGGGCACATGATCTTCGTTAGACGAACAAGATCATTTCATTATTTGTATGTGCAACATTTTCTGAGAGTCTGTTTTTGTAAATTTTTGCAGTGGAACACTTCATTTTTGAGTTGATCTTCCAGAATTTTCGTGCATGTATTCTCTCAACGAGTTTCATAGATCTTCAGTACTTTCCCAAGCATGGTACGCTGGATACCTGTACGAATAACTCCTTTATGAAGCCTGTTTTCATTGTTTTTGCCGTACATTGTTGAATGACTCATTTGAGGTAGAAATCAGCTGGTTATAGTTTATTCACTATTTCTGGAATAAAGTCCTTCAAAACTTGGGTGTCCTGCATCGCAACCACATCAAGGATCGCCGCTGCAATGGCACCAACCCTAGCCGAGGGGTATGAAGAGATTCAGCGTGGAGGCACAAGAGCATGGGAAGAGGCATTCATGGTTAGTGGACATAATATTTCAGCTTTATTACCCATTACCAATCTAGAAAATGCATGTGCATTCGCACAAAGAAGTTGGAGAACGGGGTCTTACCACGAAAGTAGCAAAAAACCTACTGAATATGGATAGAAATCGCTACATAGATGTACTTCCATGTGAGTGTTTTTGGAGCATTATTTTGTTGTTTTTTTTTGCACTTATTCATGTACAACGTGTTTGATGGTCATATTACTGTTTTTTTTTCTTCTGAGGCCTGTGGAAATTCTTTATTTCCATATGTTTTGCCAGTGACGTACTTGTATTTGGCCAGTGAATTAATCTAGCAGTGATGCCTTTGCTCTTGTCTACCTTTTGAGAGAAAACCTTACACCATTTAGTTGATCAGTCTCGCGTTGTTCTCGGCCATAATGCTGAGGACGATGATTCTTACATCAATGCCTCGCCTGTCTCTATCGAGAGAGCTCATCGAAATTACATACTAGCTCAGGTTTGCTGTCCTTATTTCTTGTCGTGTAATGATTATACTTGGTTCAAGGGACCATTGGAGAACACTTGTAATGATTTTTGGCAAATGGTTTGGGAGCAAAATGTGCCAGCAGTGATAATGCTTAACAAATTGATGGAGAGTGGCCGACACAAGTGAGTGCATTTGCAAAAAGTTAGCATGAGTCATTGCAGATCAACGCGTAGAATTTTTTCATCAAGATGTTTGCAAGATGTGACAACACTAAAACTTCTGCTACCACTTTCTATTTGCTTTAGGTGCGCTACATACTTTCCATCTAAAAGTGAACAGTCTGTAGAGTTTGATGATTACGCAGTGAGTTTGGAAGAAGAGGAGCAACATCACAATTTTGTAGTTCGAAAAATCCGCTTGAAGAAATTGAATGAGGAAGGAGGTAAGATTTTGTTTATCAACTCTGTTTATATGCTCTCGCGCAGTTCATTTGCGACACATGAAGCTTACATGATTGGGCCCAGTTAGTTTTTTTTTTGAATTTGTATACTGACTCGAAAAATGCTTTTGAATGGTTTCAAATCTCATAGCCTGGGTTGCTTTGTATCTCTAAGCAAGCTAAAATGCTATACAACGTCTGCGCCGTTCCGAAATAGCAATAATGCCATAAACCTTTTTGCTCTCGTTAGGGTTATTCGAATTAAAATTGTTTTGTACGTTTGTCACTCTGAATTTTCATCAATACCTACAGTCGAAATTAACATTTTGAACTTTGTTGGTACCTTCTAATTGAATCTGACACGTCGTTGTGGTATGTGAGTTGATTATTCATCTGATTGCAATTGGTTGGACGTGAGGGTGCACCTAAAGAGCGATACTTTACTAAATGTACAAAACTGGGAAGGAATTAGCGGCTGTGCAGCTTTTATTGCATAAACGTATGATGGCGAGACATTTACTAAGGGCCGCATGCACTAACATCCCCGCGGGGAGGGGATCGCAGCTTAAAAGAAAACTTTATATTTCGAAACTCCAGATACCTGGATTTCACGTTGTGTACCTATCCATAAGTATTCCTATTACCCTTCACTATGAACATGTTGAAGAGGAGCGAGAAGCTGTACGAACCGCATTTTCCAGCTTGTATGATCCCTGATGATCCCCTTCGCTTTTCTTCAAAGTCATTTTTCTTTCTCCGAAGTTAACGAAGAATCTCCAGAGTTGTGCAGATTGTCTAACCCGACAGTGCTAAGCATGTTGCTGCTAAGAACAAATGATGTTTTGAGGTCATGAAATTTGCGATGATCCACAGGTCGAAATTTGAGGCTTACTGAAAAATTCGACTTTTCAAAAATTTGTTCTCATCAGCAACATGCTTAGCAGTATTGTGTTAGATGTTCAGTACAACTTTGGAAGCTTTTCGTTAACTTCGGAGAAAGAAAAATGGCTTTAAAAAAAACCGCCGGGGATCATCAGGGATCATACAAAAGCTGGAAAATGCGGTTCGTACAGCTTCTCGCTCCTCTTCAACATGTTCATAGTGAAGGGTAGTAGGAATACTTAAGGATAGGTAGACAGCGTGAAATCCAGATATCGGAGCTTCAGGATATAAAGCTTTCTTCTGAAGCTGCGATCCCCTCCCCGCGGGGATATTAGTGCATGCGGCCCTAAATGTGCACAGCTTCTCTGATAGTGTGTGCCCGTCACGGAAATATTGCTTGATATCGCGCTTTTTTTATGCAGATGAGGACAAGGCTATTGCAGCGCAGAACTGTAAAGCTTTCTGTATCAGTTTTATGCAGTGGGGACGTCAGATGAATTTTCTTTACTTTGGTTTTCTGAAATCTTGTTGAAACAGGAATGCTACCTGTATCAAATCAGTTGGAATGATTGCTGAAATTCAGCTGTAGAGCGCTCGGTTCTTCATGTCCAGTACACGGAATGGCCGGACTTTGGAGTACCTGCATCTACGAAGTGTTTCTTGGACATGCTCAGATATATTCAAAGTAGGTGTTCAGCTTTGATTCTTATCATTCAGAGATCTCTTTCTAGGTCATAATGTGCTTAGCGTAAAAGATGACGATCCTCCATGTGTGGTTCACTGCTCAGCTGGCATCGGACGGTCTGGGACATTCATCCTCGTCGACGGAGTCTTGAGAATGGTTAGTTTTGTTCCTGTCATTGCCATTGACGCATGTTCTATTTTACTTCAGATCGAACTTGGTATCCCTGAGTCTGAAATATCCTTGAATGATCTTTTGGTGGATTTGCGATGGTTAGTATTTTTTCAAAGGGTTGAACATTTTCTCCTCTTGTAAAGTTTCTTCTTATAGTCAACGTTTCGGCTTGATACAAACACCTCAGCAATTGATGTTCAGTTGGCATGCCATCGTAGATGCACTTCAGCAAATGAAAAATCCTAAGGTGGGCAATTTTTTGGGTTAAATACATCTCCTTTGTATAGCTGTATTAAACTCATACTGTAGCAAAAGTGAATTCTTTCGGTTAGGCTGTACTTTTCCACAACTCTGCTTTCTATCATATCTCCTTCGTTTTATCTCTTTCAAAGAATGCCTTATCATATACTTTTCCTTCACATAATTTAAGATGCTTTATTATTAACATAGTTAACCTCTAATGCTTTGTATTTGTCATAACTCAGTGTTATGCATCTTATTTGCATACTGCCACCTTGGTAGCTTTAGAGCCAAAATGGAACTGACACAGCTGTGAGCGCTAATCTCCCTTCACCCGTTGACAGGAAGGCTAAACGCAAAACCGACGACACGGAAACGGAACCGACGGATGATCGTCTTGCAAAGAGGTGGGTTTTGATCTTATGCAAATTATGGCACACACTCAGGTGTGTTTCATCACTATAAATGTGATGACTACATAAATGGAATGTTATCCCGAAATTCATATGCAGACGTTTTTGATTGTGTTTTGTTCTAAATAGGTGGCGAGAAAGTTATTGAAAGCATAATAGAATTTTCTATCATGGGGCTTCGACTATTAATTTCTGAAATTCCAGCGTATACTCACATGTCTGTATGCGCTTGCCTTTTGCGCAGTTTTTGAGAAGACGCCTTGCCAGAGGTTTGGTCCTTCCGCCGATGTTTTACTCGCTTCAGCAATTCCTGTCTACCTTGAAAATTGCAATTACTATAATTGCACGAATGCTAGACGCACCTGATTTTCTCCTAAACTTGACCAGCCTAAACATAGCAAAGGATCTCGCGACCAAAGGACCTGAATCGTGTGGCGTAATGCCTGAGGGTATCGTGCTGCATAAGTTTTGTCTTCGAAACACAAGGTCGCGGCTGAGTGGCTTGGTTAAATAATCGAAAAAGGTGCGTCTTATACTCGTGAAATTATTGTATACCTTTATCCGCATTTTGGGTATCCAAGGTGTCATTGGATGTTACATTTAGCTCCCGTTAATTCTTTGAGTAAGAGACACGGGCACGCCTTGTGCATGTCTGATCAACATGTTTAAGTGCGCTATAATGCGTTATTAAATTACTTATAGAAACTGTTAGAACTCCGTGAAAGAAAAACACGTTTGAGCTTGCTTAACAACTATTCTTCAAACATTTCTTTCTTGAATTCCTATTAGTAATTCATCAAAACGCGTTTGAACGCGCTCTCAAGCTTGCTAGTCAGATGCACGCAAAGCGGGTCGTGTCTCGTAGTCGGAGTGAATGATACAGTCTTTGTTTGCTTTTGCGATAAATTCTCGAAGCTTGATTCGTAATGATTTTTTGCCATATATTTATCATGCTTGCACGATTAGGAGCGCTTGCGAGTTTGCGTTATCCATTTTTTTCAAACTTTTCTTAGTATTTCTTTCAAGAAGTTATAAAATTCGAAAGATTAGATGTAGTTCATCCGTACGGCGACATTTTAAGGCGGCGTGCGCGGAAAGACGGACATGAAACTCGCGTTTGAAGTGATGTGTCGTTCAGACGTGAGATGGTCGCACGCATGGTAGCGCGCAGTCGTGCATCAGAAGCTAGTCGTCGAAGTTACCTTGGTAGTGTGGCCAATCAACTAGGCGTAAGCCCGAGGACTGTTCTCGCTGCTGGCGGTGCACTGATTTTCGCCGTTGTCGCCGGTTACTACGCCTATAAGCGATAACTTATTTATTTTGTCTTGTTGTGCTGGAGGGCAGTGTTTGTGATAATTTATACCCGGATTACTCTATATGGTGGATTATCACTCACCATCTAGAGTAAATGTTCTGCTATGTATCCTCTTTGACGTTTCCTGGATTTTGCGCAGCTGTAGTTGCTTTTGTCCCCTTATCATTCCTATCAGCATTAGGTTACGAAGTAAAAGATATGCCCAATGATTAACATATGTGTTGCTCAAGTCTCGTATGTCATTTCTATCTCGATATATGTGTTGTTGAAACCTGATGACCCCACTAATCATGGCCTTATACTACGCGATTCGTGTCCTCTCATCAAACATGTGTCTCTTTTTCTGGTCGTAGAATTCTTTTCATGGTAGATAGCTCGTCACTACGCATTTATGCAAACGCCATGTGATACATATGACTTGATAAAGTTTCCTTTAAGTGTATAGTTATGTCTATCTTGTTGTTCGATCTGATATCTGGCGCATGTCTACCGCTTAGGACGGACTCGTATTCCCTTTTGATGCGCTAATTTTCGCTCTCTCTATTTCTGCTTTTGCTAAATATCGGCCTAACATGACCGCTAACTCACTTCGCTAGGCAGGTTGGTGGTGCTTCATCAGTTTCAAGGTAAAAATTTTCCTCCTCCTTTGATCTGCATCGAATTTATTCTCCTCCTCTTCATGAATAAAATCTGCCAAGCATTTACATAACGGGAAGATTTTGATCTTTATCAAGTAATGATATTTCCAAGTATTGGGTTTCTGATAATTATCATCAGGGCGCACAGGTGGTTTGGTGTACACCAAGCTGGCACCACTACGTTGTACAACTGTTTATTCGATAGTAGCGGAGCAGCCGCTGACTATCAACAGTGAATATGCGGAACAGCCGCTGACGATAATGGTGATAATCGAACCAACACCAGAACTGAGTATTCAGGCCCTTTTATGCCACTATTTTGGGCGTGGATAACCTGAATGCTCACTTCTGGTAAACAATAGTATCATACAGCATGAAGGATTGCCTACATGAAAGTAGGCGCCGCCAAGTAGACTATCAAGCACAGCGGAGGGGTGACCTGGCGGCTTAAGTGGTCAGTGAACAATAAGGTTTGTCAACGACAAGCTAACAGATATGCTAAATATAACATACACGGTAGATCTACAATGATAAAGGTTGTAGATTATTTGGATAATCTACGACAGGTGGCTTATAAGCGCTTACCGGTTTTGGGCAAAAAGCAAACAGGATATCGTTTTTATGGGTCGGGAAAAACACGAGTTAGATTAGTTTTTTTTTCTAGTCGATTCAGTTAATTTGAATAAGGGTCAAAGGGGCTTCGTATAATTTTGCGAAAGTTAGGGGCTTCGTATAATTTTGCGAAAGTTAGGCACTTCGTATAATTTTGCGAAAGTTAGGCACTTCGTTTTTTTGCACTTTCGAAATGCCACCTCGTGCCGAGCCCTGATTATTATCGCTTATTCAATCGTCTAGTTATGAACTTTCTTCTTATTGTTGTGTTTGCACCTTTATGGTTTGAAATATTTTTCTTCAGTACACATAGTCTGCATATCTGTTGCTTGATTGATGAAGTATAAAAGTAGTTTGATTTTTTGCTGTTGCGCTGTGCTGGAAGTTTCCTTTTCTTGAGGCCTATGGCCTATGCTGGCATAGTGTCAGTGGTCCACCCTCCTCCCAGATTAGCACTTTATTCCTGTATATCTACTTCGCAGCTTATTCTTTCACATCTATCGTTCAAGTGACATCTCGCTTTTTTTATTGCCAGCTGCTTCTTCTTGCCCATCTCTCATATCATTGCTTTGTGCAAGCTCAAAAGGTTAGTTGCACCCTTTCCAGATGTTCAGTTCCAGCTCCACATTTGGGGCTAAACCATCATTATTTGGCAGCACTACAACTACCACGGCTACAAATCCAAATTCTGAAGACATTGCTGTAAGTGTTTTCAAAATCAGAAGCTTGTTGATTCATGGATTACATGGATTTATAGGTGGAAGGCTCGCCAGATGATACCGTTCAAGTATTGCGATTTAGTCCTAACGTGAATGAAAAACCATTGCTGACTGCGGGAAGTTGGGATGGTGTGAGTGTTATCTACTGACCCTGATTTTTCTGATATTACTGAGTCTCACAGGTGGTACGGGTATGGATGGTAAACGACAATGGACAATGCGAAGGCAAAGCGCAACAGAATATTCCAGCACCTATACTCGACCTTTCCTGGACAGATGTGGGTTACCTGATAATTTTTTTAATCTATGTTGCAAACTTGCTTGCATTTGAGCTTTGGTTTTATTTTTCCCGTCATTCATGCTGTTGCTATGCTAATTTTTAGGACGGTACTAAAATCTTCATATCAGCTGGTGGCAAAGAAGTACGGTTATGGGATTTGGCCTCGAATCAAATGGCAGTTGTTGGCACCCATGATGGACCAGTGAAGACATGCCACTGGATTAAAGGTGCTTTACTCTAATTGGCTCATAAGTGATGTATCAAACTTTCTTTTACGCTGTTGAAATCACTTTCTAGCTTTCGAGATTTATGCAAAAAAATCTCTGTCAACTTCAATTTTAGGTAATAATTATTCATGTTTAATGACTGGATCATGGGATAAGACGTTGCGGTTTTGGGACATGCGACAGCTACCCACTCAGACATCATTAGCGAACATCACGGTATGTCCTACTTACCTCTCCTGAATGTCTGATTTGAATTTGGCTTTTGGAAAACATATGTGCCTATCCTCTTACAATCAGTTACCTCCCGCTACAATTAGCTGTTGCCATTTTTTCTAATTCTCCAGCTTTTGGAAATTCTTCAAAATTTATGGCCTGTAGAGTCTGGAAAAATTTTTTTCACCTCTTCGTATTGTTTCGGACCTCTAGACCTTTGCTTTGAACCTCTTTTGCTTTCTCGGGTTTCCCCTCATTTCTGTTTTTCCTTGCATTTAACCCTGAGGCAACTACTCGTTTCGAGGTGTATGTATCTTTTGATGTTGATGTGAATGTTTTAGCTACCTGAGCGAGTATTTTGCGCCGATGTGCTATATCCTATGGCAGCAGTAGGTCTGGCCAACCGTCACATAAAAGTCTACAATCTTGAAAATGGGCCGCAAGAAGTAAAGAATATCGAAAGCCAGTTGAAGTTTCAGGTAAGAACCGTATTCATGACAAGTATTCCAAATGGGTGCTAGTCCCTAGCGAAATATCATGCCACTCTCACTGTTGCGACTTTTCGCCTTCGGTAACTCAATTTGCGCGCTTGCATTGCATCTCTAGCCTTCAATGATCTTCATCAAAGAGGAAACACTGAGCGCGTGGCTTGTGCCATGGTCAAAGAGTGGTAAGTGCAGTAAGTGTCATCTCCGCTTACTTATAGCATCGATGTGTCTCGATATTCAAGGACAAAACAAATTCGATGCCATGCGGTTTCGCTGTTGGATCAATAGAAGGTTAGCAAACTGAACTTGAAACTTTTTGAAATAAACAAAAATTTGCAAAACCACCTCTTTGAGAATACAATTCTTGAGTATTCGATGTGAAGAATCCCTTGTATAAGTTTTATATTCCAAAAAAATTTTTGGTGAGCTGTTATGGCAAGCATCCATCGCATATCTTACAATATCATATCTGAAATGATCGTGACGGGCATGGAGTTTCAAATTTAGGTAGCGTGTTTCTGATGCTTTCCATCACTTTCTATCCTTATCGTTTCACTGAGTTTAATAATCTATCAGGTTTTTGATTATGAGAAAGGTCATACTGTCAACTTCTCTACGCCATACGAAATGCTCGAATTTTGCTAAAACTGGATTGCTAATCAAACCATTTGCCTTTTCTCTTCACACTAACAACAAATATTCAACGTGCACGCTTTTCACGATGTCCTACACGATAAGTGACGATCCAGAGTCATGTTACAGCTGTCTGCATGTCTCAAATTTCATGTTATGGGAACTAGATTAGTTACCATGTTGACTCAAACTTACGAAACGCAACTTAGTGCAGTTATAGTTAGCATTTAGATAAGCGAATCTCCGTTTTTCTGAATTTTCATTTTCATGAGTGTAGATGACCAACGCGTCAGTTTTTGAGATAAGCTGGCGTATGCGTAGCTGCCTAGCGGCTATTTTGGCATGCTAAGCGAGGGGGGGGGGGTGTCCATGATACCTGGAGTAGTTGGCTGATCTAAATCGTTTACATATTTATAGGATGTCTTGTTCAAATTTTGAAAGCTGAGGCAGCTTTTCATTTTCCGACTTTGTTTTTTTGAGAAGTTTTGGGCGTTTTTATCATATCCAAAACATGTGTGAGTCGAGACTACGACCAATTGCTTTTTTTCAAGAAAACTTCTTTATCTGATTTTCAAAGCAAAAAGCTACAATCCAGTTGCTCTAAGACTTCCCTAGACTTCAGCTTTCACTACGCGGCATATGCGCGTATCGGTGGCGCATCTCACTTATGGCAATGACATTATCGGCGACATAGCGTCGTATAAAAGAAGCTTAGCGCCGTCTTTTTTTTTTCAAACTATAGAAGATTTGAAGGCAGCTTTATGTTGTGACAGATGCTATGTCCATCTTTTCATCGAAGCTGCGCTGCGTCATTCTAGAGATGCAGAAATTTGCAAAATCACACAGATAGATATGTCGTCGACAACTGCTCCGCTGGGGATACTTTAACGGGCAACGATAAATCCGTGCGGATAGATGTGGTGCTCAGATTGGCAAAGGCTAAATAATCTTTTAATATTGAAAGATTTGTGATTGAGGAGATGAGTAACGTAGTAAGCTCCGAAATTTTGGTTTTTGGTTGTGTAATGAATAAAATGTACATAATATGAGTATATCGCATTCACTAATTAGTGGTAATAAATTCCCGAACTTGGTTCGATTTCACTGGCTAGATTTTTTCTTTACTGAGTTGGAAATGCATTTTGTTATGTGTACCCCTAAAATGCAATGTTTTTAGGTCGTGTGGCGATTCATTATGTGGAGACATCTAACCCGAAAGATAATTTCACATTCAAGTGCCATCGATCAGCTGAAGTTGTAAATGGATACCAAGAAATCTTTGGTGTGAGTTTAGCTCTGTTTTGGTATTTGATAATTTTATTGTCTTTTCTTTTCAAGCCTTCGTCCTTTGAAAAGTCTGTTTTTGCAACAAAAAAGAAACGTGTGGGTGAGGAGGTGCATCCCCTAAGCCCGTTTTAGTTTTGGATCTGGAGCTCTTGTACAGCTTGATGCACTTTTGCTAATGGACTATATCATGGATAGAAATCTCTATGACGTGCTACAATTTGTCTAGCAAGATTTTTCCCGGGTTACCTTTTGATGAATCTTTTCTATAATGCCCTTTTGAGAATTGCGGAGAAGGCTATAACTCACTGCTTGTAGGCAGGATATTTTTGTGCCAATGCAATGTTGGATATGAAGGTCACTCAACATCTGTTGCTCTTACAACTGATATTTAAGACTATTCAAAAACTGCAGCTGCGTTTTTTTCTGTGAAAATCACAACCATATAGGGTTCGAATACAGATTTTCCTAATTAGCACATTGATCATAGAAATACTGAGCAAAATCTTCTCGCCAGCCAAGAAGTAGTTTTTTAATGTACATGCACTGTTTCTTTTGAAGTGGAGGTATGACTATCTGCAGACTAAGAAAGTTTTTGAAAATTACATGTTCCTTTCTGAGATACTGCAAATTTTTGCCTAGTCATACATCGTCAAAGATTTATCTGATTTTTTTCTATAAATTGTATCAATGTTTCGTCTTTGTCTTTGGCTGTAAGTTGCAAAATGTAAAATATGGTTAAAGTGTTCAATGCAGAGGTCATCGCTTCGCGTTGTATCCCCACCCGCAAGTGTTGCTGTTTTATTTTATTTTATTACTTATTTTTTTCTGAGTCCAAACGTTGCACCAGGGAGAAATTCTAAAAAACTTTTTTGGCACTAGTGACTTTTCTTTTCTTCACAATGTTTCCATTTTTTCCTGCGAAACACTTCACATTGAATATTTTTTTAGGCGAGTTGCTCTCAAAATAAATGCAGTGTGTGTTTTTCATTGTTTCCCATCTTCTTGCGTCAAGAGAAGAAAAGCAACTTCAAGTGTTATGCTGCCCGCGTTTTTAGCGCGCGTGGGCGATTTCCCCCTTGCGTCGTTGAGAAAGTGCTTTTGCGTGGTGCCTTTTGAACTGTCACTTTTTTTGTACGTCACCTCCAATGCAAAGAATTTATTGTGCGCATAAAAAGTTGGAGCTTTGATGAAGAAAGTTTGTAGGTTTTATCATAGAGGATGTTTAGCGATATTCTTTCCGAATTTTCAAAGCCTACCGTGATGTTGTCTCCTTTCCATAGGTCATTTTATGTCACTTTGCACCATGCTTGAATGAAATTCAATTTTCTACTGTTCTTGCACTAAAGCTGCTCCTTCATCTCATCGCCAAAAGTAATGCTTCATTAAAAAATATTAATGTTTGTTTACATCGTTTTCCTATATCTAACAAAACAAACAACCCCCCACTCAGCAATCCAAAATCCTACAAATGTAACAAAATCGTTTTCATGCGCACTCATCAAATAATTGTCTAGCCTCTCCCCCCCCCCCCCCCCCTCCCCACGCTCTTCTTCGATAATAGGTCACAAAATTCTCTAAAGATGGCTAGTGAGTTGAAACGATATGCGTCAAGTTTACACTTTTAGATAAAAATTTTTGAAACTACATAAATAATTGCCATTAGATCAGCAAAAGAAAAGAGTAACAGAGCAGCAAAATTTTGCTGAGATCAAAGAATTCTTTGTTGCATCTTCCCTCGCAAAAAATTCCTAAGCCAGCACTGGTACTTCACAATAAATTTGCGTTCTTAGCATAATAAGCTACTGAAGTGTGATTATCACATCATAAGAGCAAGTTTAGCTTGCGATAGATAAAAAGCGTCCAAAATTGCATTTCCCAAACTTCATTGTGCTTCTTTACAAAGCAATCATTACATGCATTCAGCCTTTCGTTCTTCTTTCCATCGAAGCAAAACCATCTAATAGGCAGAAGTTTAGGAAGGCAATCTCTTGCAGCATCTGCTTGCAATTTACTTCAAGTGCGCGTTCGATGATAAAAACTAGATTTAATGGGAATGTTGAGGAGGTGTATGTAAGTGGAACATATCATTATGGTTTAGATTGATTTATGTGTGGTTTGCCGAAAATCAGTGGTTGTCAATCTCAAATATTTGGAAATTTCTTGGTCATCTGGCGTTGAACATATTTTGAATGGATTTTTGAGAGAGAAGAAGCGCACTTTAAAAATTTTTAAGTTGGAGCAGCATACAGTCTAAGTATCACACTGGGGAGTTTTCAAGTGCGATATAGTTTTGAAAATCATATGAGATTATGCCAGAGCAAATCTAAGCTTACTTAGTTTAGCCACGGCTCACCTCATATGGAGAAAAATCCGCAAATTCCTTCATTTTTGGAATTTGCAGATTTTTCATGTTAAGCTCGTATTACTTCTCGCGGTACACACCATATTTTGAGATACATATTTTATCATGTAAGCTTACGTTTAATTGACTTTTCGCGTAATTTTTGCTCGAATTTTTGTGTGTGAATTGCTCTTTCCCCGGCAATTTGGATCGTCTTGGAAGGCGCGGGATCAGGCAATCCAGCTCCGATGTAAAAATTGAAGTTATGCTTTTTAATGTTTTCATTGCGCAGTTGATTTACGATATATGGCCTCCATCATTCTCTGCCAGTTAGAGGCAAAGAAGCCAAAAATGCCAATCGGCGGCGCACCAATTCCGCATTGTTTTTCTGTCCACCATCAATAGTCCGAAATAATTCCCAAGCTGAAATTGGATATCTTCCTAGTTTTTCTTTTCTGGCAGAAGACGAGTACGCATAGCATTTCAGGTGAACGATATCAAATTCCATCCACAGCACAACACATTGGTAACGATTGGCTCAGATGGACGTTACTCAATGTGGGATAAAGATGCCCGAACAAAGTTGAAAACGTCCGATGCGGCACCGTTGCCGCTCACATGCGCCTCAATTCATCCGTCGGGACAAGTGATGGCATACGCGATAGGATACGACTGGAGTCGGGTTAGTGATGCTAGTTAGCGCTAGATATTGGATTGGAGTGACAAATTGGAGTTTCTGCAAAATTTTCTCCTCGTAGATTCTGTAAAATTTACCAATTATCGTTCATGTAGGAATTGTTTATGAGGTACTGAATAGGACGTTGCCCATGTGACAATTCATATGATTCAGTTGCCAATGGAAAATCCAGTTCTAAACTCCCGCCCGGAAGGTGCTCTTCCTGTAAGGACCGCGTCCTCGAGTACGGTCGGGGCTGGAACTTATGTTCGAATTTCTCAGCCTTTAATGAATCTTGTGAGCTGCTCTTTGGCATGGCTTAGCTAAAGCCTATGAGCATCCAGAAAACGTCTAGGTATCCAGATTTGCCTAACATTGCCTATAACAATTTCAAACCTTGACTCTTTTTGTTAATAAAAGCGTTTTAGAACGTTCACACGTTTTAACAGGAGTTTTTGCTCGAGTATAACTATTCAGTACAGCACCAGCAAAAAACCCGTCTATGGTCATCACCGTAGTTTTGGTAATGACTTTTCTGGATTGGGAAAGTGCTCATGCTCTACAGACTAGACAAATCTTTTTTTTATTTGCACTGCAAATGGTCCATCTATTTGTTGCAATGTGACCTGCTACTGTATATCTACCGTATCTACCGTATGCTACCGTATCTACCGTATCGTGCTGTGCTGCATGAATCCTCTTTTTCTAAAAATGTTCACTTTCAAGGAAGTTAATGCGATGCGAGGAATTCTCTTTTTTTTCGCAGTGCCATCGTATGGGGAAAATATTCAGAAAAAAATCTTTCTTCGGATGCTTTCATAAGAACTTTCATATACGGAGACACAAAATGCTTATAGTCTAATATTGCTTTGATGATTGTATCTTTCATAAAGTGCCCCTACAATTTGATTTTCTCATGCAGCTTTTTTCGCCATCCCTATCTTCATGGGGACGCGGCCACATCATTCCAAGGCAATTGTTATTTTGACTACATGTCATTGTGTACGTAGTTGTTGTGACTGGTTTTGTGTAAATGGGTTTTTGGGGGCGAGGGATTGAGGGGGTGGAAGTGTGCTGTAATGGGCAGACTGCTTTTTACGATATTGCACGTCTTTCAGTGGTTTCTGTTTCTTTGAAGAAAAGAAAAGGGTTTCACAGCGAGCTGTTCAAGCATAGAATAATCGTATACAACATAATTATAGGACTTTTCTTCAGGGCCATGAAGGAAACACTCAGCCAGGATCGAAAATTATGCTGCACAATTGCTCAGAGGATATGAAGCCAAGAGCGAAGAAATAGTGTTTGTTCATCATAAATCTTTGCTTCCTGACAACTGCCACAATTGTTTTGATGTGTGGTCACTACCTGACAATCATTCCCGTGGTTTTTCATGATACTCATGTTTGCTTGTTACGTATAAATATTTTCATGTGCTGAGAAAATGTACGACGGATGGAAGTAACGGCTGGTTGCCAAACTAGAGTTTATCTGAGGGATAGTACTTTGCAGATAATTATCACTGGTGACAAATATTATACTCTGGCGCATTAAATTCTATCCCCTGTTATCCAGTCAAAATCGAAGAGAAGAGAAAATTGTTATTACGAACAGAGGATGAATATATGAATCAATTTTTTCCATTGTTACCGTCATTTTTCTACTCACCTATGTTTTTATTGTGAAATACGTTCACAACAATTGGTCTAAAAATCCAGTTTGTTGTTTCTGGCAATATATTTGTGGGCGCTCCGCCCCCCGAGAATGAACCGTGAAGTTTTGATATTTACTTACATGGGATATAAAAATGTGCAAGTGACTTGTTTATTATTGTAAACAATTAAAATAATTTTTAAAATGTTTTGAAAATTCAAATTAGCCTTGTAAAAAAATTTCTTCGGGGGCGTGGCTGCGGCCACGCCCTCTTTTTCTAGATTTTAGGGTTTATGTGCCCGCAAAAATTTTCAGAAGCACCCCAAAAAATTTTCGCAGTGCGTGGCTACCGCCACGCACCTTTATTCGAAAAATTTTTTCGTCGCGTCTTCCTCCCCCCCCCCTCGTTCCGAAATCCTGGGACCGCTACTGCTGTTATCAGTTTGTTTACTATGCACATTTTCTGATTTGATACCTGCCTTGAGATACAAGAGTTTTACGTTAGAATACAAAGCCATATGCGATTAGATTTGGAATAAAAAAAAACCAAGAAAATGAGTTTCTGTGCCATCAGTTTTTTTTTACCAAGTCAGTGTTGCAGATTTTTGAAGTTTTTGCTGTAAGGTATGAAAAGCCAAGCAACTTTCCTTCTTCTTTTCTTGCTGTAGAAAACGAGAACACACGGTTCTTTTGTTCTTTTCTTATTCCTTTTCTTGGTTTTTGGTTTTGTGGAAAATTGAAGTTGAGGGAATTTCCATGATCCGAGGAAAGATTTGAGCTTTTTTTGGTCAATTTATGCCATTAATTTTCTTGCTCATAGTTTTTGCATTTTCTAAAGTCCAGTTGCCATAAGATCAAATAGAATGCCTGAAAAATAGTTTCGTTCGTTGCGCCACATTACGCGAGCTAGAGAGCGCGAATATATTACGATTACGCTGTGGTGCGTGAATTGCTTACTTCCTCTCCCATGAGGGGGGAATTGTCGTAATGACACAAAGGGGGAAAGCTGTTGGGGTTTCAATAATGACGAGATCTATGACCTATGGTGCCGTTTAGGGTGGTTTTTCCAACAAACTTGACAGCTACTTTGGAAGGAACAGATTTGGAGGGAAAGAAATCGCCGTAAACTTCAGTAAGTTCCTTTTTTTTTAGGTATATTTGGCATTACATTACATTTACTAAATCATTTATCCTTATTAATATACAATATCTTAATCAAAAAGCACGCACACGGGAATGCGCGCGAACACAAGAGAATATCAACCGAGAGAGAAGACAAAAGTCGTGCTGGACGGACGTAAAATCTGACCAAAACACGAGACAAACAAAATCAATCAATAAAAAAGTGGCATGAATAGCTCCAATAAAACGAGTTTTCATAGAATTAATCCATAGCATACGAGTGACAAACCACAAGAGACTCGTGGAAGTTGTGATGCACAGCGAGAGAGCGTAAAATGTCTGGAAGGGGGAGTATTGGACGGGAAGTTGAGTGAATCATGGATACTCCATAGTTGGAATCGTTCAGTTACAGCATTCATGAGAAAAATACCAATGAATAAAACATATAAACAATGACTTCAACTAAAATCAAACAACATATCCTGACCTAGAGGGGAGAGATTGGAAATTTTTTGCGCAAGATTTGTTCAGGGTAGGGTAGATAGAAATGTAGAACTAAAACTTAAAGTGGGAAAATAAGTAGGTAAGTCCAGTAAGAAACTGATTCTATGGCGTGGGAAGGGGGTGGGGGGAGAGAGAAAAAGGGCAAAATGTGGTAGAGGAATGATTCGGATCACAGTGGTGCCGGCGGCTGGTTGAACGGGGCTCTCGACAAGGGCGCGTCACACACACGGGAGATTAGACGTAAAAGACGTAAAATCACACGCACGCACACACACACACAATTCACGCACACATACACAGAACTGCATACATGCGACGAGTGAGATGTGGCCAGAGAATAAATCAGTGATGACGAACGAATTGCGCAAAATTACGTCTAAAATCTAGGCTTCTGCACTATTCTTCATACGCATGCACACATCACACATCACTTTTACAAGTATACATATCAGTAGGGGGATATATCGATCGATAACGTATATCTGACGCTATTGCATAACTGCTGGGCATCCGCGCCGCGTCGTGCACCCCGTTCACCTATGCGCCTACTTTTTGACCTCATTGGTCAAGATTTGGAACAGCTCTTTGTCGGCCAAACAACCGTCAACGAATTCTTTGAGCGTCAGTTCCTTATCGTTATTCACGTCCATCTTCTCGAAGATCATCTTCGCTCGCTTTCGTGGTGAATCGTCAGCTGACTTTGTCACCTCGGGCCCTAACATCTCGTAGATGGCCTGAAAACAAGGGTGTTTGGATTTGTTAGAAAAAAAACTAATAGTTTTCTTTTCCAAATAAAACGGTAGAAGAAGAACTTCGCCGAGATGCGCTTCCTTCGCGGACGGTCCTTTCGCACATGCTGCTGCATATCGTGCTAGGAGCAACGATCCACGTAACCAGCGCTTATTGGAGAACTTTTCTGCCCCAGTAATTGAGCAAGAAACCAAGCAAAACATTAGCTTCTTTCTAAAATGCATGGAAAAGCAGGAAAAAGTATTGCCGGGCAATTAGCGGTTTCTAATTAGACGATAGGTCTCTGAGAAAAAACTGTAGCAGGAAGGACGCGTGGCATTGGTCAGTAAATGCAAATGGAAGGCTAACGACTGCTATATATGGGAAATTAGAGAAAATGCACTTTTTTGCTGTTCTGCAATTTTGAACTGATGGTGTCAAGGAATTTTCTGCATAGCCCTTTCAATTTCATCCTTTTAAATTTTTCGGAGTAAAATCTTGGCTCGGCACGAGGCAGCCTTCCGAAAAAAAAACGTAGTCTCCCTTGACCCTAAACCACCCTGAACATAAAAGCCTAAAAAAACGAAACGTCGACTAAAAAAAGATGTAACCTAAGTTGTGGTTTCTCGACCACTATCCCCTTTGCTTTTTGTCCCAAAAACGATATCCAGCATACTTATAAGCCACCTGTGCCGACAGCCCTGAGTAGAATTTAGAAAGACCGTCAAAAAATCTGTTGTCGGTATAAAGTAGTAAGAAAGTACTACCAGAAATGTGAGGAAAAGTTGTTTTCAGCTTGTTTTTGTCTTTGTAGCATAAACAGCACAGGAAGAAATATCAAGATTAAGTATTAGTTTCTTCTCGAAGACTGCTCTATACACAACAACAAAATTTTTCATTAATTCTTTTCTATTTTTCCAAGAAATGTTTCTTCCAATTTCAAGACTTCTAGGAATTTTTCAATTCAAAAAATTCCTAGTGGTGCCACCCACTTATTAATGCACTATTTCGCTCCTGCTGCGCCCATTTATCGGAAAGGTCTCCCCCCCCCCCATTTACCACAAAGGCAATAAGAGAGCGTGGTAAAAATAGCATCGCTGCGCTCGTACACATTATGGTTTCTCTCAAGAAATAGCGCTTATATTTCTAATGCGACATGACAAGCTAGTCGTCGCCTACGCGATTTGGAATTAATGTTTAGATGAATTTATAGCAGCATTTGCGGTTACTTTCTCCAGACACGAAACGAGATTTGCATTTATTTTGTGCTTGAAAAGCGATTTGGACGCGTTGTTATTTGGAGAGGAAGGAGTTGTGAGTAGAAAAAATAACATAAACATAAAAATTTGACCATGGAACTAACCTCAATAATTTTGATCATTTCCTTCTCATCAATCGTTCCGTTTCCATCGATATCATACATTCGGAACGCCCATTCAAGTTTTTGTTCGGGTGTACCCGAACTGGTCACATTGATAGCTAGTAAGAATTCTTTGAAGTCGATAAAACCGCTATTGTCCGTGTCGAACGTTCGGAATACATGTTCACAAAATCCTTCAGCTGATCCAGATGGGAAGAAATCTTTGTAGACTTTGATGAATTGCTCTTTGGTGAGATGGCCTTTTGGACAGTCTTGCTGTAAATAAGAATAATTACTCGCGGCCATATGATTGATGACCCTAATTTGATTGAAGATTTTGGTCTGGACTCAAAAATTAAATGCGATGTTAGCTGAATAACCATTTAATTATCAATTGATCTTTCACTGATAAGCCGAGAAGCGGCATCAGCGATCTTAATCACAAGAATGTCAAGCAGCGGACACGGAGATAAGAACTGTCGCATTTATAGTCGTTTTTATGCATTGAAAACGGAACTATTGGAAAGAAATGACTAGTGATTATAACTGATTAATGACGTTTAAGATCAATTTTGTTTATTTTGAGGCATGAAAACACTGTAAATGTGGGCGACAGTAATTATGCGTGTCCGAAGTGAAAGAAAGAGAATGCCGTTGATTTCCAGATTGTCTAGGAATTTCCCATTTCAGGGTGACTATATAAGGAAAGTGTCGCGCAGTTCATAGATTTTTCATGTAATTTCTCGTTTCATGCTGCATATAAGAAAAAAAAAGAAGAAGAATAACGCACCACGAAGCCCTTGTACCATTCCTTGATTTGTTCTTCAGTGAAGTTAGTGTTCTTCTTGAGGAACTCCAAGTCCTCCTTGGAGAGTTTAGGTTTGGAGCCCTTGAGTCCCATTTAGCGCAGCCGCCAGTCGTCGCGTCACGATCGGCGAAGTCGGCACGACACTGCTTCAAAGACACAGAACTATAAGAGCAGCTAGCGCGCGGCTGCGTTTATGTGTGGCCGTAGCGCTCACACAGATGAGGTAGAGAAGAGAATCGGGGCAAAGCGCAAAGACGTCGGTGCGCTATAGGATTTTTAACGGAGATTTTGTGAAAAGCAGATTCTAGTGAATGAATATGGCGTGGGAAACACCACTAGGTAATAACGGACACCAGCACCACGACCACCTCACGTAGAACATGTACTAGAGCTAGCGCCGATCGATGTTGGTGCCGCCGCCGCAGCCGACGACGTCGGTCGCCGCCCATAGCCGTTTCTACGATCGATAGCACTTACTACGGTAGCAGCCAGCAGCAGCAGCCGGGAGGGAGGGAGGAGAGACCGCTTGTCCGGATTCGGATTTGGCAGTTCGCCACCCTTGCCTGCTCCCGGGCGCTGCCGCGGCCGCCGCCGCCGACGCCAGCGTCTCTAGCGAGCGGGCGCGCGCCGCCGCCAGCTGCGCTTTTTCAAAGCTCGCGAAATTAACGTAAGCTAGCGACAGCCGCTCTTCCGCCTGGTTCCGCGTACGTGATTGTGGTGGTGACGTAATTTATGAATGGATGAATGAACGAACAAAGAAGAAATAAATGAATGAAGGCAAGCAATTTATGCAATGGCCATAATTGAGGAGCGAGGAGATAAAATGCCGCCAAAGAGATAAGCGTAAGGGTTAGCGCTCTTAGAAAATATATAAGAGAGGCCAGACAAGAAGGCGGCCACATCAAATCAATTGATACCGCAGCAAAGAGCTGTAAAAAAACAGTCAAAAGAAGAACAGCGTCTTTAGTATAGAAAAGAATTGCAAGTATCCGTGTATTGAATTTAACGAACCATTGAGAGTGAATTACGAGCGAATACACAGCCAAGATACTCGTTCAAATGAGTATGTAGCGAGGCGCACGGACTTGCGAGGCTCTAAAGGAAATTTTATAAGTATCCCATTGTGGCTATGAATCCTTGACAATAGATAGATTAGAGATAAACTGCTGAGTGTAATTCCCGAGAGATTTCCATTCGTTCTCTCTCGAAAGAAAATTGCCATGAAAATTCGCTCGTATTCGGAAGATATAGCTACGATGTCAATAAAAGAAGGTCTCACACAAGCTTGCCCCACAGAATGACGAATTATATGCATGAGTTGACATGGGCAGGTGTTGAAATATGAGCGAGAATCGATGCAAAATATGGATGCAAGCTGCTATAGATACATTTCCAATGGAAACAATTGTCTCGCCATTATGAAAAGATAGAAAAATCTGTAACTCTAGCGCGCACATTTGGCTTATATGTACAGAGAGTAAAAAGTGCTGAATCAATAGCACAAAATTCTCTCGAATCTGTCGTTTTTATAAAAGAATTCCATATTCCCAGCATCAATGTTGAACAAACAATGGCGAACAGATGAACGGGAACGGGCGCTATGAAGTCCGATATCATGGGCAAAATCAAATGCAACAAAGGGCAGGGCGACAAGCACAGAGATGCACCAGCAAGTTAGCAGAGAAGGGCAGCAATCAGTGCAATGAAAGAGTTCAGGAAGTGAAAGAAAAATGAGAAAGATTGACTAAGGGAAAGGCGCAGCTTAGCGAGTTCGTTGGGAAAGTCAGGAGGTCTTTTGGATGGCAAGACTCTCCCAAGAAATTTGCACAAGTTGAGCTTGGGTTCAGACTAGAATTAAGGAAGACTTCTATGTTTAGAGGACATTACCTGCTCGAAAGCAGAAGTTCTAGAAGTCTCGCACGGCACCTGCAACAAATTACGCATCTTTACATAACATGAGCTTGTGTTAGATGTCCGCGCAGGTGAACTATGGTGACGCGTTATAGACGACGCCCATTTCTTGCGGTTTATGAAGACAAGAGCTGAAGTGCGAGGAAAGATTGAGAACCGCAATGTTTTCGAAAGGGGTCCAATGATTAATTTGTTTACTCTGACGAATGATTAATAGCGGGGGTAGTTTTTAAAAGTGCATCTGCTAGGAGACATAAACTCTGAAATAGATCAACACCAATGTGACAAGCAGATGTGCAGAATGTCGCCGACTTGCGCTATTGCGCAATAGTTTGAGCTGTAACTCGCAGCACACAGATGAGTCAGAACGAATTTAGAGCCTGAGGGCCCGAACTTCGCCGCGCCCAACTTTATCGCTGTGGCGACGTCACGACGTCGAAAAAGAGCGCGACGATCGCGGCGATGAGCTAGTACGTCGAAGCCAGCCAGCAAGCAGCAGCAGTCAGCTGGCTTGTCACTCACATCTCATCGGCAGCGCGATTCTTGCCGGCCGGCGACAGCGTGCTGCCAAAAAGACGAGGATTCAATGAGCTGAGCGAGACATACGAGTGTCAGCGTTTTGAGTAATAGATGGAATGAAATATTCCCTGATCATTGGTCGGAAATGCGAGAAATAGTGAATAGTTTCTGACGAAAATGGAATGAAAGAACTGCAGCTTTTCGAGTACGTGATGTGGCAGTAGAGCAAAGAAACTCAGCGACTGCAGCTTGCAATAGTTTCTTGGAAGTCTTAATGGCTTTGGCGCTACGTGCAAGAACAATGACAGACCTCGGCGACACAAAAGAATCGCTCTTTTGACTTTTTTGTGCGTTCAAGATCTTTGAAAAAGAAGGTCCCAATCTGGCGAGATTTCTGGTGCTCTTTTAGAGAGCAAACAAGCAAAGTTTGCGACTTGAAAAGGCCTTGTGATTTTCTCAGAAATGGACATTCTTCTCATGGAAGCTCACTTCATGCTTTCAGTAAATCAACTGATGAAAGCAAACCTCGTTGAATGTCCGTGCATTGATATCCAAGTATGGCATACTCTACATCAGGGTCTGCTTATGGCAATACGCGGGAAAGTTTATTACTCCAGATGCGAAAGATTCTCCAAAAGTCGTATTGACGAACCAATAATTCGACATATGGTGTTTACGTAAAGCGCCAGGGAGAAGAACTTTGGCGCCGTAAAAAAAGTTTATAGCCGAAAATTACTGTAACGGAGGAGGACAGAAGGAATCACTCGTACGAGAAATGTACTGGACATAATGCGATCACCACTGAGAGCAGAATCTGCTTTCATAGCCTGTTATTGGTCGCTGCACGATCTTTACGGCTATTTACGGATGCTTTCGCATGCAAAATCCTTTTATGGAAATATGCGCCCGTTCCGTCTCACGTCATCATCGTGGGATAGTTCGGCGCCAAATTGCCAATTCGCCACCCTAAAATGTCCATTCTACGACAGCCGAAAGCAGCAGCTAGTCGTGCAAGATGCACCAACGCTGACATCAAGAATGACCTCTACATAAATGTGTGATGGCTTTGGGCTTTGATGACATCTTGGAATGGGCCGAAATTGGCCGTAATGTCATGTTGAACGATGTCGTTTTGAATGAGAAAAACTCGCGTATGCATCGCATGAAATGGATAGCATCATAAGACTAAGGCGGATTTTGTGCCCACATATGATGAATGAAAATTGATCCTTTAATCTTGCTTGAAGGAGATTACATATGGATGTGGATTGGAGAAAATCCGCTAAGTGTCCAAGTTGGAAGTAGTTTATCAAGGCAGAAGTATGTCGCAATTGCAGAACATTGAAGAGACGCTGTCCTCAATGAAGACGAATTGAATGGCGCAGCGAGAAATTACTGGGCGCGTCTACTTTCTGGAAGAACAAGTTTGCAAATGTGCAGCTGACAAATAGAAAAGTCGCAGTAGTCGCTCCATCAAGTCATAGCGAATGAGTTCGTCAACGCTATGAAGCTCTTTGCAAACGCATCTAGATAAGAACTATTCGCAGTCGAGATGTTCATCAGTTTGACTCACTGAGTTGCCAAAGAGATAAAGTTACTATTCTTTTGGAGATAATCAGGCCTATAAAAATAGCATATCCATGTGCTAATTCACATGGCAACATGATATGCGTCGTCTCAATCTCCAACAGAGTTCCATACGTGAAGCCCGTGATCCTATGCTTAGAAGGATATGTGGTAGCCATAACACCGGCGTTTGATTGAATAGAAACAAGAACAGGAAAAAGGATGTTACTGGATTGCGAAAACACTCGATGTTTTAGAAAAATCGAAGGAATAACTTAACGGAAAGCCAGTTGTTGTCGAATATATTTGGAAAGAACTTTTTTGAAAACCATGTCTCAGATACATTAAATTGAGAGATCTAAAATGGACACCAGGCGATTGTTGGTGGAAAGGAAGTGTTGGCTCGGATGCAAAGAAACAGAATAATAGCGTCCCGTACGCATTCAATTCCGTCCGTTTCTTGGTGCAAGAAAGAAAAAAAGCGTAAAAAGGAAAAAGGTTTTTTTAAAGATTTTTTGTGCCGGACATGTGTGCAAAATGGATACCATAACCTTGCTTTCGTTCGACAAATCAGTCATGCATGCGAAATTCTGCTAGGTTTTCATATTGGATCATAGGTATATATTGGCAAGAAATGTGACCAGTGACGCGTAAAGTTGCTTTGTTGATTTCCGGAAAGGAGTCTGGAAGTGGCTGGCAATGACTCATTGCAAGTTTGGGTGACATAAGTGAACTGCTGGGATCAGGACACTGTCAGGAACCTAGGAATTTTATAAAGATGCTGTATAAGAGGAGTTGTGGCAGTAAAGCCGGGAAATGCGCCGTAGCGGTCCAAACGACTGCGATAGTTTATCTTTATGAGCTATTCGGCATGAGCAACTTTATCTTTGAAATTCTGTGATGTGTGAACATTTTCTGTTGAAAGGATAGAATAAACAGAAAGTATCAGAAGGCTTGCCGTTGAGAAAGGGATAAAAATTGCGCGACCAAATGAGTGCAAAAAGAGAACAAATCGTAAGACTGGGAAAATAGAAACATTTGGCAAGAGTAAAAAACTCGAATGCAAGTCATTCATGCGATTTACCTGGCATTCTGCCAAGCCGTCATTTCTGAATGGACAATGAGCAAGCGCAATGAAAGTTGTTTGCATTGTGTTGTGTGTTGCCCCTCGAAAAATGACGGCTGTAAATTGGTGGGCGGAGCGCGAGAAGACCGGACCTGATTGATGAACCTCGTGATGTGTTTCTCAGATGATTCTTGAATGATGAAAGATACAATGGTGAGTTGGAACGAGTAGGGGAACGAACTCTGACATTGAGCGCCGCCTCAGCAGACTGCTGGTCCTCATGAGGTAAGCCATAACATATGCGGAAGGACTAGTTTTCCGCTGAGGAGGCTCCGAAGGCGGAATTCGTTTCCCTATCCAATTAGAAGCTTAAAATGTTCTTCAAAATTTTTTTATACAATAGGTATAGTCAGTAAGGCTGGGTGCGTGGATTAGGTAAAGTTGAGTTTGTACTCGCTACGAATTTCCGTGATTGTTGAGCTTTGTTAGCCTTCATAAAGTTTTATCACCTTTTTTTCAGAAAATTATAA